CCGCCGGGGCCGAGCCAGGATCCGGACCGGGCGAGTTCGCGCCGACCCGGGCCCGACCCGGCCCTCGAGCTTTTTGGACACCCCTAAATGGAAGGATTTATTAACTTAATAGAGGTCCTCTAACCCTCAGAATGTCTGATTCTTGAGTAAGTTGTTCTTCCCTGCACAAGTAGCAAATTGTAGAGGGCGTGGTTGGGTTTCCCGGTTGTTCCTCCGACGATCAAGTAAGTAGTTTGCTTGAGTGGAGAAGTAAAATGAATTGTCCTAGTTCTTAAACACAGTGAGTAATGATAAAGATCTTACCTTATTGTTGAAAATAGTAAAATAGAAGGGTAGAATGGTAACTTCGGCTGAATATGGGATGACAGTCACGTCAGCCTCTGCTTTACAGGTGTCGGCCGATGAGTGGAGGAGAGGTCGTTTTAGTATTTAATGTGAAGTGATTGGTGGTGTGCAGTACCGACGAGGCCCGATGTGTCATAAATACTATTGGGGGCAGTGGAATAATAACGTCCATAATGCATTTAATAGCATTTACTACGAGGTGATTGGTCACCAGTACACAGGAGGAGGCTCGAGGCTCGAGGCATTTCATCGCCTTTCTACTCGTCCGGTGGTCGAGAAGTACCGCTTTTTGAGTCGCCCTCGCAAGATGTTAGCCGATAGGTCGGCCGAGTGGAGTAATTAAGCAGTCGACTTAGCCAGGGGGCGACACGTAACTCCTTTCAGGTCGTCGACACATGACGCCTTTTTAGTCGTCCTCACAAGATGTCGGCATACCGAGTTGATCAAATTGGACCTCTGATTATCTTGAAACGCTGACTTGATTATGCATAATGTGTAACACTTGTCCGTCATTGATTGGAGTTTATTTTTCATCACTAAAATGGCTATAGCATATCCTACTTTAACTGGGTTAGATAATTTAATTTAATTTTTTTACACCCAAACTCTTCCATAAAACCAAAAAAGAGTAGCAATGCTATATACACACACACACACACACACACACACACACACACACACACACACACACCATATGACCACAAATATCTTGAAAATGAACGAAGAAAACTACGCAAACAAAAACCAAATTAATTACCCCTACACACCCGCTATTTTCAAAACCATCATTCTTTATCTCCATCTATAATATATCCACATACCCAAATTAAGCTGTTGGAGTATCCCCCTCACCAATTACACCATTGATCAACCCTCACTTTTTCTTTGTACTTAAATTGTATAACATTCATTGCGATGAGGGCACACCTAAGTCCTCTGCCTACCTTGATCGCCCAATAAAAATAATAATGTAGTAGGCCTTACAGTTAGTTAATATTGAGATTCTGTTATTATAAACAAATTAAGTAAAGATTAATAGTTCTTAAGAATGTACTACATTCCCTTAGCTTCCCCTGCAAACTTGTTAGTTGTTTATTCCTGGCCCCAATAACTTTTTAAAATTAATCTTAATGGTTACTTGCATTAAAAAGTTATGTTAGATGACTCATACAGTCTGTTTTATAATTTAAGATACTCAACACATTTTGTCTCTGATGCATATCAATTATGAGTAATAGTATAATTTGATTGATCCAAGTATATCCTAATATATTTCTAAACTATTGTATTGTCTTTTGCTCTTTATTATATATCAATCTGATATCACAATTGATGTAGATGATGAAGGCACTACTATAGAATTACTAGGAAAAAGATAAAGGCGGAGAAGGATTTTGGCTCAATTAAATATGAATAAAGAAGAAATAAAGGATAATATTTTTTAAATATTTTATAATAAAACTTAATTTTTTGAGAAAAATTAGGAATCTTTAGAAGAAATTTTCATGAAAAATTTTTAATACGCTCGTGTGAATGATTTTGTGATATAAAATTATACTGGAGTCACCATTAATCTTTAATCTTTATTTTTTATTTGAAGTATATATATAGTTAATATGTCTTGCGGTCTTGTGAAAAGTATGTGTTCTGTGCTGAGCTTATACAAACCATCTTAATATTACGTATTTGATTATATTTTTATTAACACATCAACAATATATTATTGTTTTTTTAAAACTTAACACTACGTTTAATGACTAAGATAAACAAGTTGGAGTCCATGTTTTGATGCAATAAACAAATATATTAGATAAATTTTGATATATACAAATTTTAAAAAATAATGTTGTGTATGCAAGCATATAATAAGTATATTGATCCCAGCTTTACACACAAATTTATTTGATAAATATTTTTAAATATGTGTTATTAAAATTTATGGTAAGTGTAATAATCCATGTTTATAGATTTTAACTCAAAAAGAATCTAACTTATTTTATAGTGAAAAAATATATAAAAAATAAATAATTTTGATATTTAACGAGTGCATTACGTGCGCGGAAAAACTAGTGGAGCTGAACACAACACCTTAAAATTGATGATTTTATCACGGCAAGCAAAAAAAAAAAGATAATGATTTTATTGATCCAGGTATTTTCTTTTATTTCTAACCCCGTTCCTGATACCCAAAGTTCTGCAAGAATAACATCTGAGTGTGCTTTTAACTGGCCCAATCGTGCTGAATTAGGCACGTAATCCAAAAACTTTGTTTATGCATATATACGCGTTTCATGTACGCGGATATATGCGCGTATGATTTACGCATATATATACGCGTATATATTTTATTTACTCGTATACATGCCGCGTAGATAAAATCACCGCGTTATCTTCCCCATTTTGATTTTTGACGCGTAGCTGAGGATGAACGCAGCATTCAACCGCGTCTATAAATAGAGTCTTGGTCCCGCCCTCTCTCTTTCGAATCTCAACTCAAGGTTTCAATTTTGGGGCTTCTGACGATCTAGGGCTTGCGAAGGCTTCTGATGATCTAGGGTTTGTGCTGGAGGAAACAGGTACCTTCTCCCCTTCTACAGTTTCTCTCCGTTTCTTCAACTTTTTTCTTTTTGGTTTGTTTTTACAATCTTGGAGCTAGGGTTTCTCTTTTACTTCTGATCAGCATCATGAACGGCGGCGGCGAGTTTCCCTTCAAACTGCGTCATCTTCAACAAAACCCTAGAAAGATGGAAACTTGGCGCCTTCAAGTCTATGTTTCGAAATTTATTTTGATTTTCAGGTGAAGCCTCGGCCACTGTATGAAACTGGACCTACTCAACTTTGTTAACCGGCTTATCTAGTGTTTCATGGATTTCTTAATACTATTGAGTATATAAATACCGAAAGTCCCGTTTCGTGGATTTACTGTTTGCTGTTGATTTTGTAGAGGTGAGCTTTGACGAGTAGAATGATGTCCTTACAAAGTATCACTATCGAGTGCAATTATGCACAGGCTGAATGTTTCATTCAAAGAAGAAGAAGAAGAAGAAGAAAATATCATTCACTTTTGCTTTGCCTCCTCTTCCTACATCTCACTTAATTCCAATCTGCAATAGTTATTTACTGTTTGTTGTTGATTTTCTAGAGGACTGATTTGAGAAGTAGAAAGGAATCCTTGTGAAGTTTCCATTATCGAGTGCAATTACAGCTCAATTTCGCAGTCAAAATAGAAAGAAGCTGTGATTAGTTCCATTCTGTTTGGGTTATTTATTTTTTGTCATTGATTTTTCAGACGAGAGATTTTTATGATTCGAAAGATATCCTTGCAAAAGTATCAATGATCGAGTGCCTGTGAGTACACTGATTTCTACTCAAATTGCACCTTCAATTGAATAGATTAATACTGATCTCATTTATTAAATTTCAATGTATATCAAGTCATGTTCCTGTACCTTATTTTTTTTTATAAATTTGCTGTGTTCAGTACCCACACCTGCACCCACACTATACCGGTACTCGTAACTGTACCCGTGCCCATGTAACACATGGTTTGATGAAGCTTATTTTTATAATTGCTACATCACTAGAAATATTGGCAATTAATCTATTTGTAAGCTAAAGACTAAATAATATATGTTTCTTATGTTAAAATGTTTATGTTCATTGATACAGAGCATTCATCATTCCCACGTAAAAAATCCACTGTCTTAATCTTAAGCTGCTGTTTTGGTTGTCTTGTTGGAAATGGTAGAAAACTACTCTGTAGACTGAAAATTATACTCTTGTGGGTCCTGATATGTGGTGATTTGCAGGGTAATTTTAGTGTTTATCCCTTGTCAGATGGTCTTATAGTTGATGACTCGGGTAAGATAGACAAGAAGGTTCCTTGCGCAGTCAATTTAAAGTGGACCAAGGGATCAAGAAATATTAAATAGTTTAGTGCTAGAAAACCTTGACAGAAACTATAGAGAAATATATCTGCACATAGTCTCCTAAGTTGTATTGGTGTGTGGGTAACATGGGTGGGTAGTGGTCATAGGGTGAATATAGGCAATATAATATATTTATGGGTTCAGCCCGCGAGCTTACGGTCAAACTGCTCAACGATGGTGATTATAAATCACCTTAGTCATGAATTCCTCAAACTTCACATTTTCTGTAGTTGGTAAGCAATTGGCAGTTTATTAAATTCTCTACTAAATTCTCGAGTAAAAAATGGAGATACTGTTCAGTTACTTGAGAATGCTGTTGCTTCAACTTCATATTCTTGATTCTTAGTAAAGTTGACAGAATGGTCACCAAAATACTGCTGAAAAGACATGCTTTTGAGAAACTTCAAGGTTGTGGATCGGTAGGAAGATCATATGATGGGTGTCTCAATCAAAGCCCTAAGCATATAATCTTTTATTTAGCATATGATAAATCATAATTTTTGTATGTACCTAAGGACTTAGGACAATGATGTGAACTGACAGTGATATTTATTTTTCCTTCTTGGTTGACAATCATATCCGTAGTCAGTGGCTATCAGTGAAGGAGAGCGAGCTAATTCCTAAGGGTTTACACATACAACAACATGGAGAGAAGCACATTTTGTATACTCCATTACATTTGGAATGCAATCCATTCCTATGAAAGATTGTTACTGATGGCTGGCAACAGGGTGTGATGATGGAACTGTGCGATTACAAGGTCACTTTCTCAAATCTCTAGTAGTCATTTATCAGTTGGTTAAGCTGAAACTTGATATTTTTGCTCATTCTATTTAAAGCATCGTTCTCTTTATAAAAGTAGCCAGCAAGATTGTTTTCCGGACACCATTTGCGGGTATCATATTCTTCAACTCTTGCGAGTTATGGTGACATGCAAACTAAATATTCTTAAATCTGACATTCATATTCTAGCCATTTAGCTTTACATTCCAGTTTTACTATTGTTGGCCAAGTTTGTGTTGCCATGTACAGTGTATAGACTTGTAGAGACTGTATACTGGTAGGATGACTAGATGGACATGGGCATTTCAAAATAGTCATGGTGAGTGAGTGACTGACCCGCCTTCAAAGGATTTTATGGATTTCTTTTGAAAGTTTAGTTATCTGTAATATGGTTCAAAATATTTTTCCTTCAAGGATGATGTAACCCTTATTCAGAATATGCAGATCAAGTAGCCAAACTATCGAATTTGTAGGATATTGCTGCTGGTTGGGTCAGTATCACCATTGTATTTATTGTTTTCCATTTTCTGGATTTTATTGTGTACATTGATTACAAAATATTGCATTTAACTGGTTGATCTTTGTTTGAGAATGCATAGGTGGATTATCATAGAACATGATGCTTTTCGTAGTCTATTGCGCATCAAGTATAAGCTTTAACATTGAGCCATGTTTATCTTGAGCACGGTTTGTCCACCAGTTGTGCTTAAATCATCCTCTTTCATTCTTTTTAGTACCCCTAATAAGCTATTACTTAAGTGAGTGTTCTCTACAGAGGCTTTGTCCTTGGAAGGTGGTGCAAATCCAAATTGCTTGGGGAGCATGTCTTTGGATCTGCCGTGAGGTTTATATACTTTAATTGAAGATGCACATAAATACTGTGAGTCAACTTTGCAGCTCTAATCATGGTGTAGCTGACAAAAAAGATGAGCCATTGGAATGCAATCCATTCCTATGAAAGATTGTTACTGATGGCTGGCAACAGGGTGTGATGATGGAACTGTGCGATTACAAGGTCACTTTCTCAAATCTCTAGTAGTCATTTATCAGTTGGTTAAGCTGAAACTTGATATTTTTGCTCATTCTATTTAAAGCATCGTTCTCTTTATAAAAGTAGCCAGCAAGATTGTTTTCCGGACACCATTTGCGGGTATCATATTCTTCAACTCTTGCGAGTTATGGTGACATGCAAACTAAATATTCTTAAATCTGACATTCATATTCTAGCCATTTAGCTTTACATTCCAGTTTTACTATTGTTGGCCAAGTTTGTGTTGCCATGTACAGTGTATGGACTTGTAGAGACTGTATACTGGTAGGATGACTAGATGGACATGGGCATTTCAAAATAGTCATGGTGAGTGAGTGACTGACCCGCCTTCAAAGGATTTTATGGATTTCTTTTGAAAGTTTAGTTATCTGTAATATGGTTCAAAATATTTTTCCTTCAAGGATACCCTTATTCAGAATATGCAGATCAAGTAGCCAAACTATCGAATTTGTAGGATATTGCTGCTGGTTGGGTCAGTATCACCATTGTATTTATTGTTTTCCATTTTCTGGATTTTATTGTGTACATTGATTACAAAATATTGCATTTAACTGGTTGATCTTTGTTTGAGAATGCATAGGTGGATTATCATAGAACATGATGCTTTTCGTAGTCTATTGCGCATCAAGTATAAGCTTTAACATTGAGCCATGTTTATCTTGAGCACGGTTTGTCCACCAGTTGTGCTTAGATCATCCTCTTTCATTCTTTTTAGTCCCCCTAATAACCTATTACTTAAGTGAGTGTTCTCTACAGAGGCTTTGTCCTTGGAAGGTGGTGCAAATCCAAATTGCTTGGGGAGCATGTCTTTGGATCTGCCGTGAGGTTTATATACTTTATATTGAAGATGCACATAAATACTGTGAGTCAACTTTACAGCTCTAATCATGGTGTAGCTGACAAAAAAGATGAGCCATTATTACTTATCTCTGTTGTGGCCAAGCAAGTTTTGATGTCTTGGCTTCTACAATATAGGAGCTCAGAAATTGAAAATCTGCACCATGATGGTTCAAATACAGATTCTGAACATGTACGTAGTCCTATTTTGTCAATGTATTTCCAGTGGCTCTCAATTCACATGCCACCCAAGTTTGCAGTGCTCATCAGAAAGTGAAAAGGAAACTGGAAGCTTCTGAGAGAGGAAACTGTTCAACAATGAAAAGTTTCCCAGCCTGACTCAGATTTAACTAAAATCAAGAAACTGAGGCCCAAAACAGAGCTTATGGATTGGCGCAAGACAATCTGGAGTTATGTGGCAGTTGCCGCATTTCTTGTGAAACATGCTGATAGCAGGAAAGGAGATGCCTATTTGTTATCTAGGTGCATATATGTCAGCCATGTTAAATAAGTTCTACTTTATCATTGTTTTATCTACGAAATATCTGTCATCTTTCCTCAAATACCAGGTTAAATGTTTGTTTTGTTGTGGTTGCTTGTCGCAATGCTACTCTGATACCGTGGGCTTTTCTATTGCCTTACCGGCTGTGGTATGGAATCCCCAAGCGATCTATTTCATTTTCCTATCACAGGTTGTCGGATAATCAGTTGCTGTAACATATATTTATTTTTCATTCTGCATGATATTTTTTCTAGGGTTTACTTTTTTACATTGGTTTCACATACATCTCCAATTCTAGCATTGCAGCATTTGGTCATTCCTAGCTTTGTTCAGGATGAAAGTAAGCACTTCATTGTCCAGCATGTTTTGTGTAATAATTTACAGAGCTCAGAACAATTTATCAGAATTGTGCACACAAATCAAACAACTTAAGCTGTTTAAATAATTCTATTTTTGTTCAATGAAAACCTCTAATTGTTGATTCATACGAGCTTTAAATCAGCTGAGAGTTGAAGCAAGATGAGATATAAAGAAACTTGGTTACATATTTATTGAGAGGAGTGGGTGGGTGGGGGTAATATATGCAAGAGTGAACTAAAAATTGACAATCAGTTATAATTTAGCTTGGATCAATATATTTGGGTCCTTTTTAGAATACTAACTGCCATGTGCTTTGGTTCCCTCCTCAATTTCATGTGCATGAGAAGTTTCAGCAGCCTTTCTTCCATAGTTTGTTTTCATCCCCTATCCCTTCTAACCTTTTTCTTATCTGCAGCTTCTCCTGATTTTCATTCTCTTGGTTAGAGTTTCTAACTTGATAAATTTGAAATAGGGGGAAAAAGGAGCGATATATATTTTTAGATATTTTCAGGACATCCTTCTTGTTGTTTGTGCTCCCATTCTATGATTCACTTGGACATTTAGTATTTTTCTGCTGAAGCTCCTTGGAACTATAATAAAGATGACTTCTTATTTTTTTTCTTTATCATTGACTGGTTAGAGTCATTTCTAAAACAGCCCGCATCCTAATTCACTTTTCATAATTAACATGAGCTAGTGAACTGCGCATTTTGTAGTTGCCATTTTGTTGTAATCATGTGTGTTTTGGCACTTGCAGATACTGTTAGATCAGGAAATTCATATATCATCATTCATGGTTCTAGCGATGGAAGTATTACTTTGGATAGTACCACAACCATTGATGGTTTTATGCAAAGAACTCTGGAGTTCAGACAAGAAATGCTTATGTACTGTCAAAGACGTCCACAAACAGGTATAGTAAGCCAGGGAGATGGATGGTGGAAATCCTTGAAAAATCAATCCTCCCAGGAGGCTATCAGAGTTTCCTTAACCATACAGAAGCTGGCAATAGTAGTAATGGCCAAAGTGCCGAACAAATTTCAGTTGACCCCTCATCTCGACGCAAATACCCTAACGAGTGCTCAGAAGAGTACCAATATGCCATCATCTGAGATATGTCAGATTTTGCGGTTGCATATTTTCAGTTCAATTCATCAGTCTGGCGTTCACTGCCTCCATGTTTCAGAAAGAAAAGATCGTCTGCAGTCAAAACCTGAAATTTCTTACCATGTTGTAGTTGTGGAGATGATCAGACAGTGAGCTATATTTTCTTTGATTTAACAAGGAAAACAATGAATGGGATTCCTTTAGTGTTCCAACTGATAAATCAAACCACATGCAGGATTGTGCACTAGATCAGGAGTCAGGTATGGTTTTATGCTTGTTTACTTCTACCGTTGGATTTTATAATTTTACTGATGGGAAATTGATTTCTTTCAGAATTAATCATCACCGAGAACGAGAAGTATTCTAGTCATGGCATGCATTACCAATATCAGCTTAGGATACATTATCGAGACAGTTGAGTCAGATCACACTTCAGCAGTTAAAGGTATCGACTAATCAATCTCTTTTTGGATTACTACACAGTCTATATATGGGATGAATCATGCCAAGCTTAGGATACATTATTGAGACAGTTAAAGGTATCGACTAATCGATCTCTTTTTGGATTACTACACAGTCTACATATGGGATGAATCATGGCAAACTAGTCTATCAAAAATTTAAAACTAGAAGCAATTTCTTGTATGAAACTTTTGAGTTTCATTTTCTGGTGTGTTTAATGTCACCTGTCCCTGTGGAATTTTTACTTAAAAGACTGGTATATGCTTTCAGCTGAGCATAGCAGCCTCCATTAGGCCACGCAACAACCACCACTTGTTTAATGCATATTGCTCACACAAACTATTTCTAACTTCAGGCATATGAACTTATGGCACGTGGGCCTTGTCCACTGGTTTGGATCAAAGAATAAGGTGTTGGAAGATTGGTCAACATGGAAAGCTGACTGAGCATTCTCATCATGTAGTTAGTGTTCGAGAGCCAGAGCATTTGATGCAATAACGTATGGCAGGTGACTGTTCCTTGGTACTCTTCGCATTTCTTTCCTACTTTCAATCAATTGATTCCAAGGTCAGTCCTGTAGATATTAAATATCATCCACAAGAGAATCAACAACAAAGCCTTTTATCCCAATTTTTTGGGATCGTTTTCATGAATCACATTCTTCCATTCAGCTCCTCCTAAGTTAAGTGTCATCATATCCTTAATATTTTCTAGACAAGGTCTCTTAGGCTTACTCTAGAGTCCAAACTTCTTGGGGAGCATGGGGGTGAATATTAGTTATCTTTGTTGGGCCAAAGCAGGTTTTGACGTCTTGGCTCCTACAATACCTAAAATGAAAACAAAATTCCTTTACTTTTACAAGTGTTTGTTGATATCTGCTTTTATTTAAAATCAATTCTCTCTCGTATTTAAATTCATTTTTCCTAGAATAATACAACCACGACAACTATAATGCAAAATTAGTTTGGTCTTCTACTTCTAGAGGCTACTTCTCATGTATTGAGGTGCTGAGGAATACATATTTATTAAGTAGAGACATTAATATCTTCAGTTAAGATCCAATATTTGAATAACTCGTGCTTTGCGGGAAAGGGTTGTGGGGGAGCTTTTCTTTTATGGAAAAACTTGAAGCATAACAAATTTAAGTCCATAACAATCACATAAAAAATGTATTATTTCACACACACACACACATATAGAGAGAGAAATAGAAATCAGCGATGATATATTTTTCTGGGTGTTTCGGTTACATCCTCCAGGACCACCAAAATAAAAATCAACTGAGTCAACAGTGGATATACCATAACATTTGTTTCTATCTGTTACGAGAGTTAATGTGTCATTCTCGGGCTTGTATAAGAGACCATCTTGATCTATGAATTGTATATTCTTCACATATGTTGCTTTTTATATCCTTCTACTGCATAATGGCCACTGCCCATTGGTGGGCTTGGTCCACCTCTTTTAAAAGTAACTTCTCCTCCGATATAAATCTGTGATGCTTTGTCAGCCAACGTCGTAAAGAGAGATTTAGGCCAATATCCTACTGGTTGATCTCCATTAGGCCCATAATACAACCACCAATCTCCAGTATCAAGATTCTGACAAGACATTTAATAATAAATAATTAATCAAATAAACAAATATGAGCTATTCCCTTTTACGTATACTTTACAACTATGAGAATGAATTTCTTAATTTGTCATTGAATAATCTTGAACATAATGCTGTCCTTATTGTGGATATCAATTTTTTCTAGATGTTTCTTTCTTATTTTGTGACCATTGTCTTACATCTAGATTCAATAGTAAAAGATAAGGCATGTGACAAAGTACATTTACCATTCCTTTTTAATTTTAAGAGTAATTTGATATTGAGCTCCATTGTACACAGAGAGTGGTTGAACCTTATACCAAGGAACAAAGGGAGATGCATCGTCCCATTTAAATCCTTCACATTTCAAATTGTAGCATTCTTTCTTCTGTTGGCCTGACTACAAAATTATAAAATTCAAAGAAATTGTCTGTAAAGAATGCAATTTGATCAGTATACTATGAATATGAATACTAAAAGCATTGGACAAATCTGGCTCAAAATTAATTCAGATTAATACACCCATTAATTCCTAATAATTGCCATTAACAACCTACTATTAAATCTCATTAAGAGCTAATTTATTCTCTCTTAATAGGCCATTATATCTATTATTTCTCATTTAACATATGAGTTAATTTGGACAAATCTTCTAACAGCTGTCACTTACTCTCCAAAGAACGAAGAAGTGAGTGTCATGATCCTCGTATAGCTCCGGGTATACCTAAGACGTGATAAAGTTAAGGTGTTATACCTTGAAAACTATTTAGTAGAATACACGAATACATTCTTTTTCTAAATATATAAAAGAAACTGCAAATAAAAAGATTTCTGCTTACATGCCATCCAGCTACTATGAGATCACCACCATATCGAAATTTGTGATCCGCTTATTTGATTATCCATCACTGATGGTAGACCGTATACATTTAATGTTGCTTTTGCACCATAATATGCATCTTCAATTTTGTAATAAGTATTGCCACCTGCACGCAGAAAGCACACCAATGAACATAATTTTCGTAAAGCAGTCGAGAAAATAACAATTAATGTAAAGATTTCTATGACTTTACGTTGTTTCAAGGGAGGTATCAATATATGTGTGTGTGTGTATTGAAGAATATTCTTCAAAGCACAAGTAAGAAATATCCATAATATCTCAATGGTTTTACTTTTTGCTTACAAATATAAAATGAAAAATAATAAGGAAATCAACATTACAACCTGCTGTATCATGAATATCACCAGCTAATATTGACCATGGTGGTACGTATAAAATACATTATTTAACAGCCATAGCACTTGTATGATAATGAACTTACACGAGTCGATGCAGCAACTGTCACATTGTCATTTGAGTCGGTGGCAAAATATTTATTTGCAAAATATGTATTTGCTAGCGCCAAACTTTCTGCATAGGCAATAGATGTATGCTGCGTAGCACAATCAGATTGCCACATTAGAAACATTTAAAAAATAGGTTTTTTGACAATCAAATCTTTGTTAATTATATTAGATCCTGAAATCTTCACATTTACAAATCCAAGTTCATCAAGTTGCTTTAAATAGACCCCCACCCCAAAATACCCCTTCAATTTTTGATGTGCAACCTCAAATCTAATAAGTTGACTTAAAGAAGACCCTTATTTCGAACAAATATGAAGATTTGAGGGTCCAGTCTAGAGATATAAAGTTTTAAGGGTCTAATGTAGAATTACTAAAGATATGGGGGTACATAGAGACAGAGTCTACCATGTAAGTTTAGGTACATACCGTAGGTTTTGTTTGGGGTGGGGGTGGGGGGTGGGCATCATGTTTGTTGGGTCTTGTGGGATATGTGAAAATCTCAATCGACTATTTTTATTTGCCACGTTATAGTTAATGCAATGATCTCTCTAATCTCTAGTGCCAGTGAAAATAAGCATCTAAATCCATCATATGTTATAGTTAATGCAATGATCTCTCTAATCTCTAGTGCCAGTGAAAATAAGCATCTAAATCCATCATATACAAAGCTATAAAATTTCTTGCAAGTACAGTTTACATTCTAAAACTTTTGCTTCTATTAACATTCTACAGAGATATTCCACCATTAAATTTCCATCTAAGTGATATATCTAATACACAAATCACTACGAAACATGGTATGCTCTTTTGATTCTATTCAGCGTGGTGTCAAGGTATTTATTTAAAGGAAATAAATACATAATAAGAAAATCACAATCTAGTCTTCTAGCAATAAATTTTATTTATCTAATATTTGATTCAAAATGTTCTCTCAAGAACATAAATCTCAAAGTAATATAGAATGATGATCATAAACTTAACTTGTAATAAAACCTTAAATAATTGGCGTAAATATGGTCAAATTGATCATGATATTTGTAACGAAAAAAGAATTTAGCTAATTGTAGAAAGGCATCATTAAGTAACTAGCCATAAATGAAAATCACGGATATGATGTTTGGAGAAGTTGAAGGCCATGAGCAATAGCTATAAATGAAGAATCTAAAAATTAATATAGGTGATATGTTGAAAGAAAGCTGCTAACATTAAATAAGGCAAAATACACTGAATAATAGTGGAATAAGCGAGAAAGGTTATTGAGCTAATATCTCATAAGATTTATGATAGGTTGATCGTTTCTTTTTTGATTTCATATATTTCAATGTAAAAAGAATCAGATAACAAGAATAAAGGTATCATAGTAGAAAATGTCATAAATCTCCAGTTCAAATTTCTATGCTCTATTAGTGATAAGTGTATTCTTTTTTAGTGAAAAACTATAATTATATCTCTTGGTAATATATTTTATTACTATTTTTACTGGTTCCTTACCTGGTGGAATATTCTGGCATCATCCCAGTGTGTGAAAATAATAAAATCTTCCTCAAATATAAACTGATTTACTACAATACACTAGTTTTCAATATATAAGATGAAGTTTGGTACCTGGTATTCCATCTTGCCTTCATACTTGCTTACATCTATTGCATTACCTTGAAAACTTAAGCAAAGTAACAAGCACAAGAAAGCAGTAGCCAAGAATCCTCTATGAGCCATTTGGAGACCAATGCCTCCGATAGGAAGTTATGGGTCTTTATATGATTTTTGAATCAAATGGATTCCATTAGTTAATGGAATTCATTTACTAAAATAAATAAATAATCAATACAATATCTCCAACTAGGTTACATTAGATTGTAGAAGATAATTATATATTCTCAAATTGGCAATTTAACTATGGAAAAAAGATAAATGGCGCTAAATTTATTTTAATGTTTTTTCTAGTAATATTTTGTTATTTTAGCTAGTGATTACCCAAATGAACCATCTTTCAGGGTCTTTCTATAATTTTTGAAATTGTCAGGAGTTTTTTTTCAGGTTTTTTGCGGGTTGTTTGTAATTTTTAGGGGGGGCTGCTGTTTGTAATTTTCAAACCTTAAGGGGTTGTTTTCAATTTCAAGATTTGTCGGGTGTTTGTTTGCAAATCCAAGTTTTTCATGGGGTTGATTGTAATTTTTAGAATTTAAGGGGCTTTCAGATTTTTTTCGAGGGTTGCTGATAATTTTCACATTTTTAAGGGCTCTATTTAAGTTATTTATTTATTTTTTTCGAGGGTTGCTGATAATTTTCACATTTTTAAGGGCTCTATTTAAGTTATTTATTTCCTTATGGTTTGTTTTGTAAATTTCATACATTTTTTGATCGGGCAAAATATGCATTAAACTAGTAAATGATACGCTTACTGTTTACGCCTGTATACGCATGAATAAAATCACCACATATGCTTTGATCCCTCCCGCTATCTCTCGAATCTCAGCCCTGGGTCTCAATTTAGGGACTTCTGACGATCTATGATTTCTGACGATCTAGGGTTTAAGCTTGAAGAAGCAGGTATGTCTCTCTCCCCCTTAAATTAATGTCATCTTGATTCAATCTTTCACCTTCCTAATTTCTCCATGCCTTGAATTTCTCTACATTTCTATAACTTTTTACAATCTTCAACAAACCCAAGAAAAAAAATGTAAACTTAGTGTCCTAGAGTCTATCGTTTGAAATTATTTTGAATTTTAGATGAAGCCTCACCATTGTCAGCAAAAATAGCAACAAAAAGATCACGGGTATATCATCGTCATCATTTAGAAAAAAAATGAAAGATAGATGTTTTAAATAGAAACTGCAAATATCCACTAATATCGTAAGAAAATTTGACAAATTTAAAGATCATATTAAACGACTCAGATAATATTCTGATCATCAGCAACAACCAAGTTCCATTAATGATAAAAAATCGAAAAAGATCTTAGATCTAAAATTCAACGAACCATGCAACACCTAAGCAAAAATTTGTCAACCAACATAACCAGATCTAAAATCGACAAACTAGATGTAGCAAGAGGTTCGATCTCAAATTAATGGGAGATTGAATGATTAGAAATCTAAATTAACTCCTCATTGAATTACTACTACTTACTTACTACGAGCATTATCTAAGTGTCCTCCTCGTCAATCTCCTCGTCATCATGCATGATCTCCGGCATCCTGCTCCTGACCTGCCCCGATTACCTCTTAGGCGTTGACCACCTCGCAGTGATCCTCCTCGTGAACAACCTTTTCCGCCTCCTTTTCATAGTTGTTGTGTCAAACGCCACATAATTGCTTACATTTATGATGCGTGTGCGAGTAGTGAGAAGCCATCGTAGACTTGTAGTCGGATGTTCCACGTAGGCGGCAATGATCTTCTTGGCGGCCGCCTTCTTTGCCTTAGTTGCCCTTGAAGTTTTGTGACTGGCCACGAAGCTATGATCACCGTACAAACGAAGAGAGAGAGAGAGAGAGAGAGAGAGAGAGAGAGAGAGAGAGAGAGAGAGAGAGAGGCAATCTCTGATTCTTTTTGGGGAAGCATTGTGAATTGAGTGGAAGTTTTCTTATAATAGTATGTGAATTGAGAGAGAGAGAGAGAGTTTTGGGAATTGGGGGTGCTTTTGGCAATCTCTGATTCTTTTTGGGGAAGCATTGTGAATTGAGTGGGAGTTTTCTTATAATAGTATGTGTTGATTTCCCACCCAAACTTTTCAGTTATTTACATTTCAATTTTTTTTTACATTTCAATAAGTCTGGGAATTGGGGATGCTTTTAGCAATCTCTGAATTTTTTTGGGGAAGCATTGTGAATTGAGTGGGAGTTTTCTTATAATAGTATGTGATGATTTACCTCCCAAACTTTTTAGTTATTTACATTTCAATTTTTTTACATTTCAACAAGTCAGCCAGATGCGGCCATCACAATATCCTGTTACATTTTCCTATTAATGGGGATTGACGTAAGCAACAAGAATTTAGTAAGGTCCATTTATCACCCGTAATTTTTATTGTTTCATCACTCTGTAATTTACAATTACAAGGAGGAAGATCACCACGAGGAGGATACTGAGGTGGTCAACATCGAGACGACAATCAGGACAGGTCAGGGGCAAGAGACCGAGATCATGCATAATGACGAGGAGATTGATGGGGACGCTCAGATAATGCTTGTAGTAAGTAGTACTAGTTCAGTATAGATTTCTAATCATTTAATCTCCATTTGATTTGGGATCAAACCTCTTGCTATACCTGGTTCGTCAATTTCAGATTTGGTTGTGTTGGTTGACGAATTTTTGCTTGGGTATTGTATGGTTGGTTGAATTAGATCTAAGATCTTTTAAGGTTTTTTGCTTATTAATGGAACTTGGTGGTTGTTGATGATCTGCATCTTAATCTAAGTCGTTGGATATGATCCTTAGATTTGTCAAGTTTTCTTGCTATAATTGTGGATTTTTCTAGTTTCTGTTTAAATTAGCATTTTTTTTTGAATGAGCTATTTCGGGTTTTCTTCTGAATGATAATGATATAATCCGTGAAACTGGGTATGCTTGTGAAGACACTCCGAAATCGATGTTTTCTTCGGTGAGTGTTTAAATTTGTTATATTCTCCTTTTTGTAGTGTATAAAAATCTGATATATTGAATTCGTTGAGTTAATCTGTGCAAATCACGATTATTTACTTGATTAAATTATGTGTCCTCTTTATTTCTTATTCCCTTGTATTTTGGTTCCCTAATTTGCAGTGATTGGCTTGATCTATGATTGTTCGTGGATTTCTTAATACTGTTAAGTAGATAAATACCGGAATCCCATTACGTGGATTTATTGTTTGCTGTTGATTTTGTAGAAGTGAGATTGGAGGAGTAGAATGATATCTTTTCAAAGTATCATTATCGAGTGCAATTATGCACAGGCTCAATGTTGCATTCAAAGAAGAAGAAGAAGAGGAGGAGGATATCATTCAGTTTTGTTTGCCTCCTTTTCTTACATCTCATTTGAATCTAGTTTGTTATAGTTATTTATTGTTTGTTGTTTATGAAAGAAAAGATAGAGAGAGGAAAACACTCTTTTTTATTGTATATCTTAATATGAATTACATCAGTGTTTAAATAGGACAGGGCATAAGACAAGGTTCCTAAAATTAAGGAACAGAAAATAGTAACAAAGAGGAAAAACAAGGAAACAACTAAAAATAGAAATATCTTATTAATTCAAATTCAAATTTCCTAATTCTATGGAATCAGATTTCCTAACTTTCCTACACTCCCCCTCAAGTTGGTGTATAGATGTCAATCATGCCCAACTTGCTTATCAAATGTTCAAAGTTAGGTCTTGCAAGTCCCTTAGTCAAGATGTCAGCTGTTTGCTGGCTAGAGGGCACAAATGGCAAGCAAATAGTTCCAGCTTCAAGTTTCTCCTTGATAAAATGTCGATCAATCTCAATGTGCTTCGTCCTATCATGTTGGACAGGATTGTGAGCAATACTTATTGCAGCCTTGCTATCGCAATACAACTTTAGAGGAAGTTTCACAATCTTCTTAAGTTCTACGAGGATTCTGTATACCCACAACACCTCACAGATCCCTTGAGCCATTGCTCTAAACTCAGCCTCTGCACTACTTCTGGCAACAACACTTTGCTTCTTGCTTCGCCAAGTAACCAAGTTTTCCCACACAAAGGTGCAATACCCTGAAGTAGATCTCCTGTCAGTCACGGAACCTGCCCAATCTGCATCAGTAAACACCTCAATACTCCTTTGATTAGTCTTTTTGAAAAATAGACCTTTTCCGGGAGTAGATTTCAAATATCTTAGAATTCGGTATACAGCCTCAAGATGTTCTTCATAAGGTGCGTGCATGAATTGACTAACAACACTGACTGAGAAGGCAATATCCGGTCGAGTATGGGATAAATAGATTAGTTTCCCAATCAATCTCTGGTATCTACTAATATCAACAGGAACACTTCCCTCTTCCTAAAGCTTCACATTGGGATCCATGGGAGTCTCAGCCGGTCTACAACCACTCATCCCGGTTTCCTTCAAAAGATCAAGGATATATTTTCGTTAAGAGACAACAATTCCTTTCCTTGAACGAGCAACTTCCATGCCAAGGAAATATCTTAGCGTTCCCAAATCCTTGATCTCGAATTCTAATGCAAGACTCTTCTTCAGTCTCTCCATCTCAATCACATCATCACCTGTGAGAATAATATCATCAACATAAACTATTAGCACAACAACCTTTCTTTCAGAAGAGAATTTGAAAAACAAGGTATGGTCAGCTTGTCCTTGAGAATATCCTTGTTTTTTGACAGGTTGTGTGAACTTCTCAAACCAAGCCCTTGGAGACTGTTTGAGACCATACAAGGACTTGTTTAGTTTGCACACTTTTGAACCAAATTTCTCCCCAAAGCCCGGTGGACTATCCATGTACACCTCTTCCTCCAAGTCACCATTGAGAAAGGCATTCTTCACATCTAGTTGCTGCAAGGGCCAGTCCAGATTAGCAGCAATAGATAGAAGTACTCTTACCGTGTTCAATTTTGCAACAGGAGTAAAAGTCTCAGAATAATCAATGTCATATGTCTGGGTGAATCCCTTAGCCACCAACCTAGCTTTGTATCTTTCCACTGAACCATCAGAGTTGTACTTCACATTGAAGACCCATTTACAGCCCACAGTAGTCTTCCCAGCTG